AAAAAAATGGAAACAAAGTCTTTGCAAATAGGGAAGGGTGGAGGGGGTGAAGGGAGGGAAAGGGAATGGGAAAGAAAGAACTAAGATATATCATGTAAAGGTAGGAGATCCCAATGATGAATGTAACTGTATTTTATACCTAAAATGTACCAACTATCTTAATGGGGAAGAAATAAAATAAAATAAAATGGAGTGGTGAGGAGAGCCACAGAGAGGTTGTGGGCTAGAGTGTCCCAGCATAGGGATGCACTAGTGCATGGTCCCACTGGGGCACTATGGGTGAAGGCTGACTGGTAGGAGTTGAGGTCATAGAGGTAGGTGAGTCCTTGGAATTTTTCTAATTAAAAATTTTCCTAGGCCTACGAAGGTAATTGTGAGAAAGGTTTGCTGAGTTAAAGCTGCTTGGCCATATATAGAGCAGGGTTTGGGAGAGGAATGACTCCATTATTGAAAGGGGATGCCAGAGGAAGAACAGACTACTAGTGCCGGCACTGCCTTTTCTGTCTAGCACTGTGGAAAAGCCTGATGATTACCACTGCTGCCAGATGCTACTCACCTCTGCCCAAGAATCCTCCCCCCAGGGGGAATGTAGGAGAGAAAACCTATTTTTAAAAAAATAAAAGTTATCGGCAATCTTGTGATTTTTTTTTTTGCATTAAATATTATTTTATGTATCCATTAGTTTTTTAAAATAGTGTGTTGTTTTGAAAATTTGTTTTTCGTTGTTAGGTTCAAAGTCAGTAAACTAAAATGGGATTTAGATAAGAAAAAATGAGACAAAGATATTTGCTTAAGGTTGTTTATAACTGGTATTTCTATCTGGTCCAATTAGGAGGCATGTAATAAGGCATATTGTCCTGGAATAGCCTAAAAACTAAGGTTTATTTAGTATACTCTAGGTATCTAATGAACATAGAGCTGTGGGAGATTTTAATTTGTATTTTACCCTTGAAAAGGATTGACTTTTTGTTTTTTTCTTCTGTAACTGGAACTAGTTCTAGGACTACCATAACTGGACTAAAAATCCTATTTAAAATTATTTTTCGTCTTGAGATTGTTTCCAGCTTCTAGGGTCCCAGAAGAATTTCTTCCATGTTCTTGGTGTCTTGAACAAAGAATTGGACAAGACATGAGGAAAAGATAGCAAAGATTTAAATTTGTTAAGGGTGAAGAAGTATGCTCTGCCCAGTGAGAGCCGCATTGTGAGCAGATTAGCAGCAGCCATAAGGCTAACTGCAGCGCTCGTTCCTGCCTCTCAGTCTTAGATCTCACCTCTCCCATCTGAACAAGGCATTTGGGACAGTGTTAGAAACCCTCTAGGCCAGATTCTCATATCAGAGGTTCACTTGGTTTTATTCCAGATGTGAAAGAAAAATGGGAAATGGCACTTGTCTGATTGTCCCAGCTGCAGGGTTTGGGTAAGTTGTGTTCTGCCCTGGGTCTCTGTGATTGTAAGGTCACGCCCACTTGTTCAGCCAACTTGCCTTGTCCTAATTAATCTCTTAACTCAAAATCAGGTAAATAGTGGTATGCTTATTTTTCTATATTGTATTTGTCTGTGATTTTTGTCTGTGATTTCAAAATTTTTTTTTGCTCATTCATTCATTTTGTGGTTACTAGGGATTAAACCTAGGGAACACTGAGCTGTGCCCTCAGCTTGCTTATCTATCTTTCAATTAGTTGGTACTGGGGATTGAACCCAAGGCCTCACACACATGCTAGGCAAGCACTCTACCATGGAACTACTACCCTTGCCCTTGTTTATTTTATTTTATTTTGGCCCTCAGGATCGAACTCAGGACCTTACGCTTGCGAGGCAGGTGCGGTGCCACTGAGCTAAATCCCTGGCCCCTATTTTATTTTTTTTTTTTGAGACAGGATGTTCGTAAATTGCTCAGGGTGGCCTTGAATTTTCAAGGCCTCTTACCTCTGCCTCCTGAGTAGGTGGGATTACAGGTGTGTACCAGCACACTAGCTAGTTATGATTTCCATCCAAGACAAAGTGCGTGATCTTTTAAATTACATTGTTTCACGTAATAAAAGAAGAAAATTACAATCAAGAGCTTTTATGTCTAATAATGATTGACTGTATTAGAGTTGGATTCTGTGAGTAAGATTTTGAAAGCATTTATTTCAGTGATTCTCTGCATGGAACACAGATAAACTTGCTACTAATTTACTATATGATTTGAAGCAAGTCACTAAACTTCTGGGACTTAGTTTTCTTGGTTATAAAAATGAACTCATGGGTGATTTATAAAATCCCTTTTTGCAATAAAGATTCTGGTTCTTGTTTTGGTTTTTCAACTATAAATGGATAAGTTTCTTAGAGCTTGCCATAGATCAGACTAATTTAGTTCACTTGTTTTGGCTGAGAGAATCAGGAAACTTGACTGTCTTCATAGGAGCGATCTTAGACTGTACTAGTTAGCAGAGGGACTTGTATTGCTCGGCTGACTTTAAGGTGAAAGGTCAGAGAGATATGAAAATGGCATTTAATCATTAGAAAAACACTATGTGCTTTTATATTCTTATTTTGTATTTTTATATGTGTCCTTTGGGATCAAAGCTTTTCTAATCTTCCTTGTTTTTGTTTTTGTTTTACATTATTAGTAGAGGCATGTCTGTGGATTCTTTTTTTTTTATTTTGTTCTCTAACTTCATTTAGTGTATAACTTGGTATGACTGAAAATGAAAGGTCTAGAAGGGTTGAGTTTTGAAAAATACTGATGTACCCACTTTCTGCTTCAGCTTCTTTATCCTTTAAACAACAAAAAAATTACCAGAGGCCCAGTAACTACTACTAATGAATGACAAATTGGAAAAATTTAAAAGGAACATTGAATTACAAGAAAAAAGAAAAAGTAGCTGTTTTTGTACCAGACTGAAACTATTAGCCATCTATTGTCATTTTAAGGGATTGCTTAATAACCTGTTACTCTTAGCTTTATGAGTCCAACTCTGCTTTACTTTCACTGGTAGCATTGAGAGAGCATTTTAGAAAGCTTTTGGTACCGGGGATGATAGAACTCAGGACCTTACGCGTGCAAGGCAGACGGCGGAACCACTGAGCTAAATCCCTGGCCCTAGAAAGCTTTTTTTTAAATCAAAATTTTCAGTTTTTTTATTGGGATATTTCAGTTAATGTGAACTAAAACACATTTAGTTGGATTATCTTTTTTTAAAATCATTATCCTATACAGGTTACTGTTTTCTCTTTGGTATTTTGGATGTCTGTTTTGTAATTTGGTTTTGGTTTTTAATTCTTAGGTTGGAGTGTGACTGTCTTTCAAAAGGACCAAATCTCATTATATCCCTGCCCTCCCAATCATTTAAGTTAGACAAGCATTTACTGACATCTCTTTTGTGGGTGCCTTTTTGTATACATCATTTAATCCTTATACTCATTGAGGAAAGAGTTAACATACTCACTTTTCAGATGAGCCAATAAATATAGTAATCCCAGGGTGAAGCAGGAGGACCTCAATTTTGAAAGACCCTGTATTGAAATTAAAACAAATTTCAAGAAGGGCTGAGAATGTAACTCAGTGATGGAGCACCCCTGGGTTTCAGATGTAGTACCACAGAGGAAAAAATACAATACTCTTTATTTTTATTCTCACCTGCTAGTATTCTGTAGCAGATTATAACTAAATTACTTGGTGCTTTTAAAAGATCCTTTATATTAGAATGAAAGGAAAAGGGAAAAAAGGCTAAATAAGTGTGAGTCACTGGTTAGGATAGTCATTTGATTATTGAGTTGTATATGTGGTTGCACATTCTAAATCAGAATGATACTTATTTTTCTCTCTCAAGTTTTATAAGGCTGTTGAAGACTTAGTTCTTTAGTAGGCTTCTTTGTATGTATTCTATGATTAGCAACTCAAGCCTTTTAAAAAAATTGTTTTTGAGAACTGTTTGCTCAGTATGACACTCACTGGAAAAGAGAGTGTGTCAAGAACCAATCAACTAGACAGAAAAGTGTTTATGTTATATATCTTTTTCTTCAGTAGGAATAGAGACAAGTATTCTAAGAAATAGTATGTTTAAAGCCTGTTTAAGTATTATAATTCTTTTGAGTCATACCTAAAATAGTCCTTGTGGAAGAAAATTTTAATATGTAGAATTCTTTGTATGTTCAGAATTTCTAAAGAAGGCCATGAAATAGAGATTTAAAAAAAAAGGAGAATGGCAATAATATTGGTTTTGAAATTAGGCTAATTTAGTGCAAATCCTGCTTCTTTCACATCCTAGCTAAGTACCCTTAGGTAAGTTATATAACTAAGTTTCAGTTCTTCTATAAATGAGCATAGTTATACTTGCCTTTAGAGATATTGTAAAAGTTAAATGAAATAGCATTATGTAAAGAATCTAAGACAATACAAATAAATTTTCTTTCCTTTCTTCTCCCCAATTGATGAGTATTAATATAGTATCCATTATAAAATTATTTCTAAAAGAACCTATTTGTTGTGTTTCTTAGCAAGAAAAATGGATGTGACTGGAGAGAAATAGGGAGAAAATGAGAGAGAAGTCAGGTAGGTAGTTACTTGGGAAAAGATTCTTTAGCCAAATAAGTGCATTTTCGTCTTATAATAAAAGCTTTTTCAAATAGTGTAATGGATATAAACATTATGCTTACTGGTAACTACTGCTTTGGTTCAAAATTATTGTCATAACCAAAAATGTATAGCCCATCTGGCAGGATAAATAGCCTCAGAAAGAGAAACTAGTATACACCTAGTCTTGTTTATTCTGCTAACTTCTCTTGTTCTTATTAGAGGAACAATACAGATGCAGTTATCTTTTCCTGTGGATTAAGTCAGAGGACAAACAAACCAAAAAGTAGGTTGTTTTTCTTTCACTTTCCCATTCAAATTCGTGTGTGTTTCCTTTAAAATAATTTTCTGAACAACATATTAAAATCAAATAAAATTTCAAACTCTTGGACTGTTTTTCTGATACTTTTAGATGGATTTTTGTTAAAACCTTTCATGTACACTGTAATTATTGAGGTTTAGTTCAAAAATCTTATATTCATCAAATAAAAATTTGGACTTTTCTTGCAGATTTACCTTATGACTAGCAGTGTAAAGGGGAAATATAAAGAGATTTAGAATCTTTGGCTTCAAGGAATTTGTAATCTCTTTACTGGGGTAAGACAGAAAATGTGCTGCAGTGTTCAGGTAAGGCATGAAACTGTTCAAATGAAAAGGCTTCCTAGAGGTGCTAAAGTGGGCTGGGCTTTGAAGGATAAGGAGAATGTCTCGGATAGAGGAAACGCCCTAAGGTAGGCTGGAGACTGGAAATAGAGGAAGGATGAAAGGAAGGCGTGATTAGAAGATTGCTTTGCAGGGTCTTAGACACTGGGGTGTTATTGAAAGTTCTAATCAGCCAAAACATGACAGTTTTAAGATGCTGTTCAGTGAGACAACTTGGAAGAAGGTGGAGAGTGACCAGAAGCAGGGAGACTAGTCAGGCAAGGATTGTAGTAACCTGGCTAAGCAAGGCTTGGAATAGAAAGCAAAGGAAAAATGAGAGAAAGTAGAACTTGTGAACTATAATCTCTGAAAGCCACAATCATGGCCTGGATAGGGAGAATTAAAGAAAGTAGTCCAATCTAGCTCTGATTTTTACACTGCTTGGGCATGGGCCCAGGCTAGATGTTTGCTCTTTTGCCTTCCCCTTGGTCTTCTGCACACTGTACTGTCTGGTTTCTGCTTCATCATGTCACTGAAACTGCTTCTCAATGGGATGACTCCTGGATTGCTTCAGTACAGTATACCCCAAACTGAGCTCTACACCATGTCTCACGAATTTCTATCTCCTGCTCCTGCTTTTGTCTTGGTCAGTGGCTCCATCAGCCACCCTGTTATCTAGATCACAAAGACTCATTCCTGTGTGAACCTCCTATATGCATGTATAACCAACCATCTCTAACCACTTGGTCATTAGTTTTTTTTGTTTTTTATTTTTGTATCAGGGATTGAACTCTCAACCTTTTGCTGTGAGGCAGGTGTGGTGCCACTGAGCTAAATCCCCAACCCTGTCAAACAGATTATCCCCTAGTACTGTAGAATAATTAGCGTGACATGCTGTGTGACTGAGCTACAGCCTCAGACTAGGGTCTTTATTTCTTTCTTTTTTTTTTTTGGTACGGGTGATCGAACTCAGGTCCTTGAGCTTTCAAGGCAGGCAGTGGAACGACTGAGCTAAATCCCTGGCCATGGGGTCTTTCTTTTTTTTGGGCAAGTCTTCCCCCACCACAGTAAGATAATAATTGTATTTTTAGTAATTGCAGATTTTATAAATATTGTATTTCCATTTAAATAGAGAATTTTCTATTATTTATATATATAATTTATAATACGTACATTTACATACATACATTTATTTTAAAATCCAAAGCCGGCTTTAGGCAGACTTCATTCATAGATCACTTGTGAAAACAAAACTCTATGCCAGTTAGTTGTATGCCTCAAGTGTAGTTTAGGTCGGGAACCACTGGCCAAAAATATCTGAAGCCATTTGAATGTAGAGAGACAGGGAAACAGGCGAGTACAGTATGAAGGCAACAGGAAACTGCAGACAGAGAAACACAGATCACAGGACAGTGGAAGGAGTAGAGTAACACGAAAGGATTCTCTTGCAACATCTACTTGTAAGCAGATTAAAAAGAGGAGGACTCTGTAACACTGGATTCCTCCAAATTAACTTCATTTTTATCATTTGCAAGTGAAGAGAATCTTATTAACGTGAGAAATAACTTTTTTGTGTGAAAATAGCACTTCCATGTATGAAAGGAAAAGCATGCTCATTGATAAGTGGTAGCAAAGTCACACTCATCTCTTTAAGAGAAGATATCATGCATATTTATTGTATTCTCCCATGCCCACCAACATGGCTTAAGCATAGCATATTTATTTGCTGAGTACATATTTATTGCTTGGGTTATATAGAATGCTGTGTTTTAAAATACATTAATTTTTGTACTTTTGCCTGTTTAGAAATCACTCATGAGAATTTTATTAGTGAGATAAAGAACAGCAAACTGGCCTTTTGTCAGTATCTAATGGCAGCGGCCTCCTTAGAATTCAGAGTAAAGCATTTTGTTCATAGCTTAAAGAGCTTTTGAAAGGACTGAAATTTCAAGTCATTCCCAACTGTTTTCCGGTGGCTCCTGTTGCTCTTATGGTCTCAAAGACTGAAATAGCTTATGCTTTATATGAGTTGAAAAGTAAATGGGAGTGACTTTGTAAAACATGTGCATGACAGAATATTTATACTGTCAGACACTGCCCACCCCACCCATTCTGGGGATTGAACTCAGGAGTGGGCATAAGGCCCACTCCTTTTTATTTTTTGAGACAGGGTTTCACTAAATTGCCCAGGCTGGCCTTGAATTTGTGGTTCTTCTGCCTCAGTCTTCTGAGTTGCTGGGATTTTAGGCATGTGTGACTGGGTCTGGCTACTGTCAGATTTTTTTCTTAATGCATTTTAAAACCACTATTTTCACCAAAAGTCATCTTTTATAAATAGACTTACAAATGTCACCAGTCCTTCCTAATAATTTTTTTATCTGCTATGATCCCTGTTAAATCTTTCTCTAGAATTCAAATATAAGTGAAAAATCTTTCTTGTGTGTGTTTGAATTTTAATTTCTTGGGTTATACAGTAAGGGTCCATTTCCACATTACAGTAAAAATCCATAGCTGATGATCTTGAATTAAGTCTGCCTTTATCATGGCTGTTTTTGCTGGTTTATAGCAGTTTTCCTTTGTAATTTATTTTGTTATAATGAATGTGAGGGACTTTCCAGATTTGTTTTTTTTACTGGAATTATGTAGACAAGGCTTTAAAATAATGAATTGCTTATTAGTCCCAAGTGTTTTTGTGATTGTGAGGGCATTTTTTTTATTGGTACCGGGGTTCAAACTCCAGTCCTTGTGCTTGCGCAACAGGTGGCGAAACCACTGAGCTAAATCCCCAGCCCCAATGTGAGGGTATTTTTTATTCTTGAAAGATGAGCCAACTGACTACCTCTTTTAGAGTAAAATTTGAATCTCTTTGACATACTAAAATATGAAACAATTTTTTCCCCCATGTCAGAGATTCTATAATGTTTGTGTAGATTTCACTTTCTAATGAAAAGCTAGTTCACTGTAGGGTGTCAGAGTCATCTCTGAGAAATCAAAGGTGAAGTCTTCCTATAGTGGAACTTTGCTGTGGTGTTTTTATTTTTGTGTGTGATTTCTCTTGCTATATAATGTTTACAGTTGAAATTATTTTAGTATTATGTTGAAAAGTTTTCCTTTTTTATTTATTTAAAGAACCTTAATATTGCTTTTAAGAACTTTGTTACATAATAGGTTTTGTTTTGAGACACAAGAGGAAAAGGGTTAAAAGTCATTATTGAAGCAGTTGCAGTGTTGTTTCTAGTACACCATAGGAATTTAGTAAGTAAGCAAAGTAAAGTAAGTAAAACTTGTACTTTAAATTCTTACTCTAACAAGTTACTGAGCTAGGAAATGTGTGTGCATCCCATCATTTAATCTATTGCTATTAAGCAATTTATTATGGCTGATTGTATTATCCTACTTTACAAGGAGTTAAGTATTCCAGAGTCACATAACTTATAAGTAAATAAGCCAGAATTCAATCTCAGCTCTGTTTCTTTTTCTAATGTAGTAGTTTTTCTATATTATCACACTATCTCCTTAAATATAGAAGTTAAAGAGTATTTTTTTATTGCAGAGATATTATAAATGCTTCCAAGTCTAAAAGTTCATTTTGCTCTTTCACATCACAGTAAGGAATTTTGCCATTAGATGTGTTTCATTAGAAAGAGAAAGAGGCAGTTGTGGAGACATTTGTTTGATATTACAGTATTTTCCTTTCTATGGACAGTACTAGCAAGGAGTCTCTTTGGAAAATTTTGCTTTATTTACAGAATATTCCAGTGGCAATATTATCTTATTCATTTTCCCAGCAGCTCTGATACATGTATTTTCTGAATAAGTTAAAACGTCTGTAATACTCTCTTCATCTGTGAAAGTTTTTCAGTTGAATTAAAATAAAAGCACCAGTAAGCATAAAGAACAAACCTTATAGATTCATAGCATTTAAAACTTTACAGAACCTCAGCTATCAGCCAGTAGAGCCCTAATCTACCAACTCCATTTGTCTCAGTTTATATTTTGAAAAAAATATACATATAAATTTATATTTTGAAAAATGCATATATCTGAAAGGGTATACTCTGAAATATATTTAAATATGTATGTATATATTAAAAACAATACCTTTATATTTGAAAATATATGTATTTATATTTTGACCTGTGACAGCTCTGTGACCCTAGAACTGTTGCTACGCAGTGGAGGAGGAAGGGAAGGGCATGTAGGCATTAGCCTACCTTCCCACCTGCCTGCCTGTTGGCCTTGCCATGTTGCTTCTTACATCTATTTTGTGGTCTCAGTACAGTGTTCTTTTATTATCTTTATGCTTTATCAGTATCTTTATGGTAAGAGTGGGACATTCTAAATTTACTAGTAAATTGGTTTTTAGAAATACCATAACTATTAAAGAAATCAGCATAGTTCTCATTTTCTTGAACATTTCCTTACACTTTTAAAAATCCTTTATTTTCCTGTATTTCTTTCTTTGGATCCTCCAAGTCTCCCACTTGACTCTGAGGTGTCAAAATGGCTTCCCCCATCTATATATATCTGGAATTTCAGTAAACACATGTAATTGAACTGCTGAAATAGGAAAAAATGTTTATATAACTTTCAGTGGAAATAGAAACCTTAAAAATACTGAAGTACTATCCCTCTCATATGTATTGGCATGAATGATGATGTCAAGAAAGGGCAGAATAGTATTGTTTAGTCATGCGATGTTGTGGTTTAAACCTTAAATGACCTCCCAAACTCTCATGTGCTGAGAGGTGGGGCTTTTGGAAGGTAATTGGATCATGAGGGTGCTATACTCATCAATGGATTCCTCTACTAATGAGCAGCTGAGGTATCTGTTAGGAGATGGGTCCTGGTTGAAGGTAGGTTGCTGGGAGTGTGGCCTAGATGGGTGTCCAATTCTTGTCCCTGGCTCATCCCTCCTCTCTCTGCTCCCTGGCCCCCATGATGTGTAGTTTTCCTCTGCCTTACCCTTCTACCATGTTGTTTCTGTTTTGGAGCCAGCTGAATATGGACTGACTCCATGAAACTAAGCCAAAATAAACCTCTCCTGATTTAACTTCTGGATATTGGGTATTTTGTCCCTTGACAAGAAAGTGACTAAGACACCTGATGTTCTGAAAAGGAAGAATTTTTTTAGACTGGACAATGAGAAAGTTTGCTGGGATTCTATAGAAGACAGATCGTAGTTCAGAGAAATTCTGTGATTAAAATACAAGGCAAAATATAAGCTGGTACAAAAATACTCTTGTTTTT